TCGGAGATCAGGCTGGCACCAGTTCAGGGGACGGGCCTCGAATCGGGAGAGCCACCACGGTCGCCACGGCAGGGAGTTACGGTGCCGCGAGGCCGCAGGGAAGGGCGGCACCCTCCAGAGCCACGATATCTGTTGTGCCCTTGGCGGGGGAGGAAAACGGAGGCTTGGTGATGGATGACGAAGGGTTGCCGACCTACGAAGAGGTGCAGAAGTGGTGAAAAGGGAGAAGTGAGAGAGAGAGAGAGAAAGAATAAATGAGAGAGAGAGAGAGAGAGAGAGAAAACAGTGATGTAAATAAAAAAAACTAGACTGATATATCTGCATTATAATAATGTCTCGATATATCTCTATTCATTCCCATATGTATAAAGCGCAACCTAGTCATATTTTTCTATGATCTGTGATTAATATATCTTAGAGGTATATAATATATTTTCTTATATATTTTATTGGATTATAACTGTATAAAAAAACAATAGAGCTTTTGAGTATTTTTGACCTGCTCCATATATCTTATTAGCTATCACAAAAAATAGATATATGTAAATGGACTTTGAAAAGAAGTAAAGAATTCCCCTAAACGTCAATCATACAACTTCTACAACTACTAGTTATAATAGTAATGGTAATAGACAACAATTATCAGCGTGATTGGTGCTGTTATATTCACTGTTACCTTTTTGCTGTAGCCATCTCTGTCATTAGTGTTGCTAATATCAGTATCATTATAATTTATAGTTATCATCAGTATTCATGTCACTGTTATCATTATTAGCATTGCTGCTATCTTCATTGTCATTAATGTGGTTGTTAATGATAATGCTCAAATAACGATAATAATAATGATAACAATGTCAAAGTCTAAGTCAAAACACTTTATTCCATTAGATTACAATGGTTATTCTTTACATGAATATATATATTTACATTTGAGTATTTAAGAGGTGTTCTTTTAATTTTGTTTTAAAATTATAGAAGCTGTTAATGTCTCTCATCTTATCTGGTAGTATGTTCCATAACTTGGGTCCACGTATTTCCATTTGTCGTGCCCCTGTATAGGTATTCGATCTCTTGACAAAAAAAGGAATTTATTTGACGCGTCTGGACATCTGATGTGTTCCCTACGGTTTGCAAGGGCTTTAACCATTTCGGATAATTCCCATGAATGAGTTTGTAAATGAATACACATGTGCCATAGCTGCATTTAGAGTGAACGTTTAACCATTTCATTTGTTTAATATGCGGGGTGATGTGATCAAGTTTACTGATATTACCTAATGCTACTCTGGCAGCATTTTTTTTTTTTTTTTTTTCACTTTTTGCATCTAGGTTTTGTTAGTCGAACCCTAAATGTTTGAACAATAGTTAATTATACTTAGGGCTAGAATTTGTACAACCATGATTCTAGTTTCAGTAGAGATCTGATTTCGTATGTGATTAAGATATACTAGGGTACCCACTACTTTCCTGTGTATTTTGTCAACGTGTGGTTCAAATGTCATGAATCTGTCTAAGAGTATTCCTAGATTATTCACTGAAGTGCTCGGTTTGATAGAGTAGCCTTCAAATTCTGTCGAAGGCACGAAGCCTAAGCGGGATAGTAAGTTTCTATCAATTATCCCTTCTATTGCTGACTGGAACTTTTCCTACCTATATCCCACGTCTTTCCCTGATGATGTGTAAAAAAATCCTGGTCTAAGAAAATCATTACTCTGCCTGGATCCGGCCCTGTAGAGTATCTTGCGCGTTTCTTATTAATGTTGTTTACTGAGTCACCATGAAGAAACTGTGAATCATCGGCGTACTGCACTAGAAGGCAATTATGGGCTATTCTTGACAAATCATTTATGAAAATTGTAAATAGGATCGGACCTAAAATAGATCCTTGAGTAACACCAAAAGGTACTTCTTGTTTTGATGATATACAATTATTGATTCTTTCCGATTGGATCCTTGTATATAAATAACTTTTAAACCAAAAGGTATCAGTTTTATGATTAAGGAAAATTTCATGGTTAACACTATCAAAAGCCTTAGAAAGGTCGCATAATGTGAACAAATTTACCTGATTTTTGTCTATGTTATTATAAATCTAATCAGTAATTTTCAGTAAAGCTGTTTCAGTTGATAGCCTATTTCTAAAACCATGTTGTGTGTTAGTTATTGGCCTCCAGGAAACTCGTCAACTGATTTGCTACATTTTTTTTCAAGAATTTTGGATAATATAGGGAGTATAGTAACAGAGCGATAATTATTGACATCGTCTATATCCCCCGACTTGAAAATTGGTGTTATTATATCATGTTTCCAAAGCGATGGAAAGACACCAGTGACCAGAGAGGTGTTAGTAATGACCGTCAAATAATGTACAGTTGCGGGTAGACTATCTCTGATAAAGCGCAAAGCAATACCATCTGCTCCTACAGCATTTGTTTTGCGGAGGTGTTTTATTACGAAGATGATTGTTTCTACGTCCACTGGTTGTGATCTGAAAAAAAAT